TTTATTTATTTATTTATTTATTTATTTACTTATCTACTTAATTACCTATTTATTTAGTTTGTTGGACATGTACAAGATAACAGGTATAAGTATAAACATGGGCATGAACATGGGAAATGCGGATGAATAAATAGGGGTGGTAGGACAGGGACGGGAAGCATGCTGTGGCACTTATGCATGGCCCCTTTACGGACCTCTTAGGAATGGGGTGAGGTCTACAGTAGGCAGTTTAAGGTTGAAGCTGTGGGAGTTTGAGGATGTAACAACAGAGTCAGGTAGAGTCTGTCTGTGCTTGTCTGCTGAAGTGAAACTAACTGCTTGTGTTTGCCTGTAACTCTCCTGCCTTGTGTTTACTTGGAAGAACCACCTGTTGGTATTGTACATTTATTCATCTATTCTTATGTACATAGTAAAACTCCAAACTCGATTGCAGAAATACGACTTCAGCAATGGAATTGTCGACGCCTGGAATGCTCTACCTGACTCTGTTGTTACATCCTCAAACTCCCACAGCTTCAACCTTAAACTGTCTACTGTAGATCTCACCCCATTCCTAAGAGGTCCGTAACGGGGACATGCATAAGTGCACCAGCATGCTTCCCGTCCCTGTCCTATCACCCCTATTTATTCATCCCCATTTCCTGTGTTCATGCCCATGTTTATACTTATACCTGTTATCTTGTACATGTCCAACAAACTAAATAAATAAGTAATTAAGTAGATAAGTAAATAAATAAGTAAATAAGTAAATAATAAATAAATAAGTAAGTAAGTGAATAGGTAAATAAATAAGTAAATGAATAAGTAAATACCGTATTTTTTGGAATATGAGACGCAACTTTTTCCCTCAAAAAAGAGGGTGAAAATCTGGGTGCATCTTATACACTGAATGCAGCATTTTTGGCCTTCCGAAACCCCATTCCTTTGCAAAAATGGACGTGCGTAGCCTTTAGGGAGTTTCCAGAGTACTCCTACGGGCTGAGGAGGGCAAAAACGAGCGAAAAACAGGCCTTTTTTGCTCATTTTTGCCTCCCCCCACACCCCATTGGCGCACTCTACAAGTCTCCTAAAGGCTATGCATGTGCCTTTTTTGACAAAAAACGGGCCCGTTTTCGCAAACAAACGGGCCGTTTTTGGGAGGTCTGCACAGTGCAAAAACTTTTTTTTTATTTGCCTCTTCAAAATCTTGGTGCGTCTTATACTCTGAAAAATATGGTAAATAAATAAATAAATACATTAGTAAGTACATAAAAGGTAAATAAACAAATAAGTAAACAAATAAGTAAACAAATAAGTAAATAAGTAAGTAAATATGTAAGTAAATACGTAAGTAAATAAATAAGTAAATAAATAAATAGATATGTATATATAAGTAAATAAATAAGTAAGTAAACAATAAACAAACAAACAAATAAATAAATAGGGTTATTTGACCATGGAGAATTCAAATTCTCATTGGAGGGGGGGGGGACCATCAAGGAAGAAACCTTTCTCCATTTCAGTTGGTTTCTCTTCAGCTGACCTTCTCACTTGATGGAGCCCGGTAGGAAGGTTAGAAAAAACAGAAGCTCCATCTTTCTTGAATTGATGAGCCTGTCCATTAGGTTGAGATCAGTGTTTTTAATGCCCCCCCTTTTAAAAAATCCTGTGGCAAGGTATAACCTTACCCACCAAGCAACTGCATCCTATACCTTCCGAAATGCAGTTTTTATTGATGACATTTTCCAGATGAAGTTTCGCACGCCCCCACCTCCTCCTCTGTGTGGGAGAATGAGAAGCTAGCATTTTCTGAGGATTACTTTTAACTCTTTCGCTGCGGCTCAGGATTTAACAGAAAGAAAGAAAGAAAGAAAGAAAGAAAAAAGATAGAAAGAAAGATAGATAGATAGAAAGAAGATAGAAAGAAAGAAGAAAGAAAGAAAGAAGAAAGAAAGAAGAAAGAAAGAAAGAAAGAAAGAAAGAAAGAAAGAAAGAAAGAA